AATGAATCGAGGCATGAGAACACCAAGTGGGCGTTCTTGAATTTTCTAAGGCATGACTATCCCCATGTATATTTGGTTTACTCAATTTAGGCTTTTATTTTTACATAAAAGGTCAAAAAGAAGCTAGCCATTTTCCTAAATTATAAAGATGTGTAAGCTACACTAATACCAATAGTTCATTTTAGTTATATTTTAGAATTTTTGCATGTATTTTGATCTGTTAAAATATACTTAAGTCTTTGGATGAAATTATATTTACTGAGTTACCTTAATTAAAGTTACAAGTGAAAAAGTAGTGGTTAAATATAATACCTGTCATACTTCTTACTTAGTTATGGCAGTTTTTTATTTAATTTTCAGTCGTTGGCATTGTTTGCTACATTTGGGAAAAAACTGTCAATAAGTGTGAGTGGGATGAGTTTTCTACAAGTCTATAATATAGAGTCTATAATATAATCTGCAATTGTTAAAAATGAGACTGATAGTATTATAGCAGTTACTGTTCTGTGAGCAGCCACTTTCATGTGTGAGGTACTGATTATGTGACTTACATTATCCAAACAACATAAATATTCATAATAATTCAATTTCCATCATTTGTTTGGAAGTTTTATTGGTGAATAATCAGTAAATTGGTATTCATCTGTTAATCATTTGAGTAGGAATGAGTTGATAGACTCGATGTCCAGCATATTTACACATAACTAAAGAACCTCATCATTTTTCTTTTATTTTTAGTATGAATTTCATTCTATAGGAACAAAATTTTTATTGGACATTTCATGTAAACTGTTTAGAATTTTATTGACAAATAAATTTCATATGGTGAGAGACACTTTTGTAAGTATTTAGTATTTTTAACCTGAATGTATGTCACCTTATGCTATAAATGGGCTAAATTGCCATGGCAATGACCCCTAAAGTTTAGGTATAGCCATTCTTGATTTGAAACTGCTGACCAGAGAGAAGACAACCATCACTTATGTGGCTACTCTTAACAGAGTAGTTGGATTGGCTGTCACAGTTATAATACTCTCATAGCTGAAAGTGCAGAGTATGTTCAGTGGCATAACTTAGCTCAAATGTTGAACCTTTTGATCCACAGCTAAGCATACTGAACATTTGACAATACTTGGCCCAACCTTTAATTCCATAAGAGTTTTTATGATACCTATAAATCTGTTGATGTCATCTTACCTCCTGATTTGGAAGGATTACTAAATAGTTCAAAAGGATGAATTTAGGAGAAACACGTATCATTTTCCCAGGAAAATCAACCAGAAGTGTTTATGCTACAGTGTGAAGATGCACACTAAGAACTGCAAACAGCAATGTTACACTAGAAGATATTAGGTATTTGGAAAACAGCAAGTAGAAGTTGTCATCATTACTGTCAGTAAGGCCACCATATCCATAGCTTTGACAAGGGTAATGGAGTTTTAAGGCCACCCAAAAAGTTGGAAGATTACTCCGAATGTCCGTCTAAAATACAACAATGGAAAAGAGGAATTATGTTAGTGTTAATGAAGTTAAATTGCAAAGCATGGATAACCTGAATTTGAAGAGCAAAAATTAGCTGAGTTGAATACAATGATCCCGTTTGGTAATAAATTTATTATCAATAGCCATTTTACTTGAATCAGTGGGGCCATAGAAGGAATACAACATCATATGTTGATTGACAGTGACTCTAAAAGTCACCATTGAGTGACCATAAGTCATCTCCAAAGGGAATTTCCTGCAGAAGTTAAACTAGAGGAAAGGGATTGATATTGTCGACAAGCTATAATAGATTTAAATTGAAGGAAATCTGAGTCCTAACATTTAAAGTCTATGCAACATGACATGTAGATGATAAACTCAGAAACAAAGTACAACTTGTGGATAAATTAAAAAAAAAAAAAATGTGGAAATGGTTTCAGATTTTCATTAGATAGTTGTGTAATACAATTTACCAATAAACAATGTGTTAATTGCCATAGTTATTACAATTTAAGGATTAATGTCAGGAGTGCAAAGAAAAGAAACAGTATTAGCCTTGATTGAGGCAAGCTGCAGCTCGATAAATATGTCTTTGTGAGATACTGATAACCTAAATTGGTCTAGAAAACAACTATGGGATGCTAAAACTAAGACCACTGGCATTAAAACTATCACAAAATTGATTAAATGTAAAATAAAAACACTGTTATGGCTAATTGATTTCAATGTGTTGCACTTAAATTGTGTTAACACATCTTGTGCCAGAAATGTATAGATGCAAGAGATTAAAAAAACATCCTTGTGATAACTCATGTTGAGTTTGATGCCTTAATCCTTGTATATTATATGTGTATTCTTTGCTGTCAGAAGGAGAATTGGTATTAGCTGTCCTCATGACTCTATAATTTTAGGTAGCTCTTCTGAGATGACTATAAGCAACATTGACACATTTCAGCATTAAAACAAGTCTTCTCAAATGGCTTGATGAAGTCAAAAATATGTGTATCCAAAATACTAATCTTGTTAAGTAAAGCTAATATTAAAGTCATACAATGAACCAACTACTAAGTCCCCTAAGAAATCATTAAAAAAAACTTCTCTCAGAGTATTACTTTTACTTTAGTTGAATGTGCATATCTTCTTCTTGAGTAGGACTGATATATATATGTCAGGGAATCCATTGTACCTCAAGTCACTTGTGTGTATAATCCCTTTGTGAGGTACTCCACATCCTTAGCAAGCTGTTCCTAAAGTTGGCTCATGATACTTCTTTGTGACAACGTATTCTGAAACAAATGGAAAAAGCAGATAATAATATCTGGTAATCATTTATTTTTTAGCATTGATAATGCTTATCCTTTTTTGGGTTGGCAGCAAGTAAAGTGAAAAAACTTGAACTAGGCCTGATATATTGTCACTGAAAGATGAAAGTTTTCTAATTATTCCTGTACTTTTAAAGATGGATGCAACCATGTAGGACATTGTTAAATATGTGATATATATATACAGTTCTTGGAAGTATGGCTTTGGAAACTGGAATAGTCTGTGCAGGCAACTGGAATATATTTTTGCTGAGATATCCAAATGATTTTTACCTCAAGTGTTCCATATGTTCCTGATCCATGTTGTTTGCCAAGTAGTGTTAATTTTACAATCTGTATCTGCCTGGTGGTGAAGCAATAGTGACATCTGCATCTGTTTGTAATGAAAGCAACTTTGTCACATTAACTCTCTGTTTATCCATGAGACGGGCTAGCTTAGTGGTCAGTGTTCCAGACTAGTTTTAGATTAGGTTAATTTTTTAAATGTTTCTTACCATCTTATTATTATTTTTATACTGTACAATTCTTCTTTAAAATGATGGTCATTGTTTTCCAATTTAAAGTTCCTGGTTAGATACAATCACTTATGGTCACCTTTGAAGTTGTGTTCAACCATATTTCTGTCCCTCTAATTGTCGAGCTTTTCAGACTTTTCCTATCACATTCTTAGTTTTGTTCTAACTAATTTTTGTGTCATGATCTCGTTACATTACTGGTTGTGTTCTTTATTTTAATATTTTCATAACATTGTTGCTAGCTGTCCAAAAATATTCCCTTTTCATGACATTGTTGGTAGCTATCCAAAAATATACAGTTTTAATGTATTTGAGTTTGAGAAAAATGTGATTTTGTTTCGTAGCAATGCTATTTCCATTTTTGGTACGCCAAAAATATCTTGTTTGCTATGTTGCCTCAACTGTGGTCATATTTCATCTTCTTTAAGACGTTTCATTACAAAGATACCGTTTTCACCAGTTATGCCATCTGGAGTAGCTAGCTGCTAAGTGTTCATATTTAAGGTCAACAAATGAACCACGTAAAGCGAATTGATAGAGGGAAGGCAGCTAGTCAACAGCATCAACTAGTAATTCTTATAGACTCCTAGGTTACCCACGTTTGACCAAACAGTGGGATTTGGATGTCATTCATGGCCACAAGGGGCGGAACTCGTTTTTGCGGCAACGATTTTATTCCTGACATTTACTTATTAGGCTTACAACTGGATATTAATAATAACTTTCAAAGCAATATATTGCATTATATTTTAACGGTCGAATATACATCGCTAAAGCCGAGGATGATACTCAACTTATCAAAGCATTCAAAATCTTCATAAGTAAAGAACAGTATATTTAATTAGCTATACACATACTCATTACTGGGTTGATTTTACGTTTGATAGAAGTAAGTAGTTTACTATGATCGGAAGTTAACATTAAGACTGATAATAAATACATTCTTTATTGTCCAATTACTGTATCATGTTTTTCTTTAAAAGAAAATATGACAGTATTTTAAAAATTTAACTACACTGTTTTGATCTAGCTAGCCCGATAAACCGTCGTTGGGCGAAAGGCGCCGACAACAAAAACTTATAACAAACTGTAACTCAAATGCTACATTATACTTTTTATTACAAACACGAATTAGAACACTTAAATGATATTTTAGAATTATTATCTGTCGTATTATAATTCCAAGTTCTAGTGGAAGCTAAGATAATAAGTTTCAACAAAAATATAATGTCCTGTGTTATCATTTCTTCCATCCTATTTTGCCCCTGTAAGTTTATACAAATATCAGTTTCCCCTAGCAAAAGAGTGGTATACGCCAAGGTCGTCTGAGCAAATGCTCATATTGAGTTCATTGATAAAAACGTATAGCCTTGTTTTTTTTTCAAAGATCCATACGAACACATACAAATCCAACTTATAAACCAATCGTTTGCTAAAAATTTATGTTAGCATATAATTTGAAAATATACCATACTTCAATAATTTCGTGCCACATTGAATTTTAAAAAACAACAAAAATATAGGCTAAAGTGTTCCGAAAGCAAAACTGTCAGCATATAATAAAATCAACATCCAATAGATGCTGCCGTAGAAGCCACGTGATCAGTAGTGCTATAGCCCATGTACACTTGCAAGAATACAAGTTACAACCAGATAGTAAGTTTACGGTGACGGGAGAGGTGTCGATGCTAACCAAGTATAAAGAGTTGAGAAAAAAGAAAAATGATTTTGTCTTATATGTGCCTGTTTTACACAAATTACAACTAGAATTGAAGACTTTTATTAAAACCTTGTTAAGTGCAATCGGCCAACTTAAGTTTTATCATTATAAAATGTCAGAACAAACACCACAAAGAGTTCGAAGAACAGGTTCTCCAGTGAGCCCAGGTTCAACGAAGCAGTGTCCCCTGAAAGCAACCATGCCAGTGTCAATGATGCGACAAATTAATAGTCCAACAAGGTTTTCAAATAAAATGTCTAGCTCTTCACATTCTCCTACTTGTAATACAAATAGGACCAGTGAAGGAACACGATTAATGTCTAGACAGTCCCCTGATTTAAGCCTTAGGTTAGGTTTATCGGTCGATCGACGCAGCCCAGGATCGCCAGGTTACAAAGGTAAGAAATGTAACAGGAGGATAGAGAGATTGTGGCCAAATAACACCACAAAATAATATATTTAAGGCTGTATAGTTTACCTTAATAGTTAGTTATAAGTTACAACATGTTGACCGTGTTTCACTTATTAATATTATGTTAACTTTTCATTTAATTTTAATTTATAGTACTACTACTACTAGTAGTAATACTAATAGTTAGTATTATATTATTATACTTTATAGTGTACTACGACTTGTATTTTAATAACTTAAATTGTACAAAGTACAACTTACATCAATGGTAGTATTGCAGTATTTACTACTTACACTGAGTTACTAGTTGTACTTGTAGTTAATGAAAGTTGATTAACTGGATCTTGTAGTTGTACATAATTATATTTATATTGAGACTAGAGTATAGAACTAATGTCCTACTAATATGCCCTACAGTACAGGTATTGTGGTGATATCTGAGTAATTAAAATACGATGGATAGATAAAATTTGTTGTTGGCAATACAACTAGAAGTACAATAAAATAAGTATAGAGATGATTAGAACTACTTTTTACATATTTAATGGTATCAGCAAGATTTAAAACTGTAAACAACCATCAAATATTAATAAAACTAAAATCATTAAGCTGGAACATCAAACCTTAATGAGGCCTCATTTGGAATACCGTGTGCATGATTATACCATTTTTATAGGAAAGGAATGAACATTCCAGAAAGAGCCTAGAAAGGCTGCTAAATAAATAACTACTTTAAAATTGTCTGAGTTACAAACTTTAATATTAGGGAGTTACAAGTTTAAGTTTTGGCATCGATGTTTGTTCTACAAAATTATTTCAAATCATTTACCTGCAAATAAAATGTAATAGGAAAATTCCATTCCATTTACAAGTTATGAGTGGTAACATCTTTTGCTGCTAAAAGGTTGGATCACCCATCTTTAACAAATACTGTGATTTACTCACCCTCATAGTTTAATGAACTGCTTAAAATTTACTACTACACAACAATTTTTGTGACTGTCAGCAAGAACCTATGAGACACAGTATAAACTGTAATGCTGTTGGCAGTTTTATTTGGATCATAACAATATGAAATATGTCTACTTTTCCTCAGTTACCTGAGATATCACACTCAATTATCAATTTATTTCTTTTGCAACATTGAGTAGAAATTTAACACATTTCATTTGACCATCACATGTACCTATAATGTTTGTTTTGACAGTACTTTTGGGTACTCTAGATATTCTTGGCCAATGATTTATCTCTTGTTTCAGATTCAGTTTTTCTAAGCTTCACTTTAAGATCAGGTTGTATACTTCCATAGAAAAGAAGTAGAGATGACGATAATGTCATTCCATTTGTTATTACAGTGAAGACCTTGTTGATTGGCATTATTTCTTGTTTTTCAACTTCGAAACACCCTCTTATCATTCCATCTTTCAGAGCTGCACTTTTCACCATTTCCGTTGATAAATACCCCAGTTAGGTTTTGATAATATGAATATCTGTTCAGAAATGATTATACATTTCTCTCTCTCTTGTTTTTTTCTTCACTGGATGTTTCTGCAGACTTTCATATTTATATCAGTTTCTTCATTGTGCATAGTGGTATTTCTTACCATTTGCTGCATTTTCAGTTCTTCTGGCTTTTTTACTCTTGGTTCATGTCTTGGATATAAAGTTTTTGTTGGACATGTGATTTATTTTAGAACTTTCCTCTTGTTTTTCACATGACTCCTACAAACAAAACATATGTACAGTCAATCTTAAGAGTTAAAAATGTGTGATTAACCTGATATTACAAAGTAGCCAAACTCTGCCAACTAGGAAAGATACTCAAACAAAATCTCTAAATGAAACAAAAAGTCAGAATAAGGACTTTAAAAAAAAACAAGTAAAATAAGTTCAATAAGCCAAATCATTATTGCTTTACTTGAATTTCAGCTTCAGTGAAGGATAATCATCCACTGTTCTTTCTTTTCTCTCACATTCTACAGTTATTTCCTTTCTGAGACTGGTGGTTGTTATTGTTGCTCCAAAATGAAATCTGGCCATTGTTTTAGTTGGAGATGTTCAGGGTGATCTGTTTTTTAAACATTTTTACAAAATAGCATGAGTAACTTCTTTGAAAATGTTATTTGGCTCCTAAAGAAGACTTGCAAAAAAGTTTTAAATCATCTACCATCAGCTTGAACGATTGGTGCCTCTCTGGTAGCTACCACTTATCTTTTTTGTGGAAGTGTTCTATACTGACATGTGGATGATACCTCCAACTTTAATTTTTGTGATTATTCCTATAAGGAGCTTTGAGTTTTCATCAGCTGGATTGTAATTTTGTTTACTGACCTAACTTCAGAAACCACTCTCACTTATTTTGTCATTCTATTTGAGACTGAATAATACCTGTGCTGGTAAAAGTCTCTCAGATTCATCCTGACCTCTAGAGATTTCAAATACTGAGGCATCCACCCTTGGATCTCTAGGGATGTCAAATACTGAGGCATCTACCCTTGGATCTTTAGGGATGTCAAATACTGAGGCAACCACCCTTGGATCCCTAGGGATTTCAAATACTGAGGCAACCACCCTTGGATCTCTAGGGATGTCAAATACTGAAGCATTCACCCTGTACCTCTAGGGATTTCAAATACCGAGGCATCTACTCTTGGATCTCTAGGGATTTCAAATACCAAGGGATCCACCCTTGGATCTCTAGGTATTTCAAATACTGAGGGATCCACTCTTGGATCTCTAGGGATGTCAAATACTAAGGCATCCACCCTTGGATCTCTATGGATTTCAAATACTGAAGCATTCACCCTGTACTCTAAGGATTTCAAATACCGAGGCATCTACTCTTGGATCTATAGGGATTTCAAATACTGAAGCATTCACCCTGTACCTCTAAGGATTTCAAATACCGAGGCATCTACTCTTGGATCTATAGGGATTTCAAATACTGAAGCATTCACCCTGTACCTCTAAGGATTTCAAATACCGAGGCATCTACTC